TTTCCCTACCTGTTTTGCGGCAGACAAATCTGTACAGCTGTTGTTTCACAATTACCATTTTTAATAGTTTTTGAATGCTTTCCACCAAACTCAGAAAATGTTTTCTACATACATGCTGCACATTTTCAGCTGCCCTCTTAGTTTTGGCTTGATGTTTGGCCAAATCTTAATATTTTGCAGGCCTCAGTTCTAAGAGGATTTCAAGCAGCCACCAGCAGCGACAACGCTAAACCCTCTCCTGGATCATGGAGTACCTCATGTGGGCTCCCACCCTGAATGTTTTATTCCTGTTAGGACCACCAAAACTGGCTGAGGCAAAGGGGAAGAACCAGGCACGGAGCAGTCCAGAGCTGGGTTATGAGTTGGAGTTCAACACGGCGCCCAGAAATGCAGCTGTAGCAGCACAGCTAGGCCAGTGTTTGGGCAAAAAACATGACAAATAATATGGCAGAGCTTTGCCTGTGCCCTAAGTGATCTCTCGTGGCATAGAGATTGTGCTTACTATCATAAAAAAATCCCCTTGGGGACAGTGTGGCAGGCAGCACGGAGCGTAGGTCCTCCCACTAAAGCGCAACCTGCACAGTACTTCTGTGCGGGAGGCTCTGGCTGCGTTACTGATGGACCACATCTGGGCCAGCAAGAACCTGCAAAGGAGAAAGCGTGTGCCCAACCGCTGAGGGGAAATAGGCAGCCTTGCATCAACTGAATCCAGACTCTCCAGAACATTTTGCCATTCCTGCTCTTCGCAGGGGTGCTTTGGCTAGGTGGCTTCAGAGAGGTCAAAGTGTGTAGCTCTGCGCAGGGGTGCTTTGGCTAGGTGGCTTCAGAGAGGTCAAAGTGTGTATGGGTGAAGGGTGCAGCTGCAAAGCCTTCTCTAGGACCTAGGCAATAAGTCAAAGGAAGGAGCAGGTAGGACTATGTGAAACACTCCCTGGTCTAAGCTATTCAGATCCCATCCCAGGGAGGTACGGAGTCAGTCACTGTAAAAGACGCTAAACAGGCTTGGAGTGTGTGCTGGGAGATAGGTTAAAATAAGAAGTGGGAGGCAGGAGAGGCAGAAGTCAAAACCTGGGTATTCATGCTACCCCTGTCCAGGCTGCAGCAATTCTAGGGAAGAAAAGATGGTGTTATCCTCAGGCGGTGAGGACAGGAGGCAACAGGTTGCTGAGAGCTACGTGACAAGGCAATCCCACCAGAGGCAAAGGATAAATACGGGGTGTCCTTTCACCTGAGCCCTGGCACCCACAAAGACCCTCAGTGAGCCAGCAGGTTTGAAGTCACAGGCTATGGGAGGTATGCGGTTGAGGCTCAAGACTATGACTCCATAGGGCAGAGACCTCTCCCTCTTCAGAAACGGCTGAGGAAAGGGAGTACAAAACCAGGAGATACCATTATCTATCCTGCTCCTTTGGGTCATGATACATCTCACAGAGAACCTTTATGCTTTTTAGACTGTAAATGAAGATATCTAGATAGCATGGTGGACCATGGTGAACCATAGTGCCCCAGCTTAGTCTAGCAAGCAGAGGCAACATTAGGAGGGAGATCAGGCTGGGTAGACTGGAAACCTATGTCTTCAGACTGCCAGCCTGCTTGCTGCTCCAAACCACCACCTCCATCTTCCTGATGTGACCTACCTATTTTAGATTAGAGCTGGAAAGTTTCCACCTACTCAGACTATGGTCTCAGCATCATTTGGTGGGTAGACAAGACTATAAAGCTTCTCCATCTGTACTGAGTCAAAGTTACCTCCTGTTACCATTTCAAAGCTGGATTTAATGTAAAAGGGGCTAGATTCCAATGTGCTTACAATGTTTCTCCATGTTCTTTCAAATTGTTGAACTATGCATATCTTCTTTTTCCAAAAAGTATGTTTAGAAAGTTTTTATTGTTTTCTAGAGAAAGTAGTACTATAAGCTAGAAAGCCAGACACCTATCATTATGAGGGGTACAGAACAAAAGTTTTTACTCAAGATTCATTATTTTACTTTCTGTTTTGACAGGATGCCATGTCCTAAAATGTTTCCCCTATGTACAAACACTGCAGCAGGAAGCTCAGCAAGCCTTGATGGAGTTTACCTCAATGATGTTCCATAGAAACCTAAGCAGGTTTGCTTGGATTCTGCAGCTAATCGGCTCTCTTCGAGACATTGATGCAGATGCTATTGAAGAGCTCTTCTTCAGGCCGGTCTTAGGAGAGGCCACCCTAACTGTATTACTTCTAGAAACCCTATATATCAAGTCAGACTGGCTTTGAAAAGAGATGACATCTCTGCTCTCAAATACCTATTTTTGAAGAGATGAGAGGGTTTTATGAGCTAAATACATTTTAAACAAATCATTGATGCATCTTTGTAAGCCATATATATTTTTTGTATGATGAAGTAATTTTGTAACATTTCAGAATTAAAAGCAGAGAAATCTAAGCATTTCATGATTCTGTGTGCTTTCAAAAACTTTTAGTCTAACGTATTCAAAGACTGTCTAGGAGCACCAGCATACTTTCCAGTTATGCTGGGTTCAACCATATTATTTCTAGGAGCGCTTTTATAGCTGTTTAAAACTATACTATATACTTCTGGCTTTCCAGAAGTTTTCGCTTTTGGGAAAAGGGGCAATGGTAAATTTTATTCAGTGCATCACCAATTGAAGATGAATAGATACATCAAAGACTGATCAATGGTAAAATCCATATAAATCCTTTCTTTTCCTGGGATGTCATTCCCTGACCCAACCCCTTTTCTGTTCCACTGACAGCTCTAGTCCTTGGCTGTAATTGCTTGATGGAGCTTCCCCTTACTAACTGCTTTCTTTTAAGTTCCTTTTCTAAGTCTTGCAGTAAACTGTGGGCATTAAATCTCTCTCCCATTATTCACAAAGTGCTTCCCTGACTAAGAAACCAAACAATATGATTAAAAAAATTGTTGACTAGACAAAAGCCGTTGTTCAGGATTGTTTCTAGGGTGGGAATAACAAAGGCTGAAAGATACTGTGTTACACCTTAAGAAGCAGAACTAATGTAGCCCAGTTTCCTACATATTTAAGACCTTTCCCCTTTAGCCCTCCCTGCATCCTTTTATAATTACCCTCACTTCCCTCCAAACAGATGGCAGATGTTCCTTGGACAGCAGAAATGCTGAAATATGGTTTCCTACAGATGTGTACAATCTGTTCCTCCATCTTTCACTGCAAGAGTTCCACGTCTTCATCTCTAAGTGCGCTATGGCATGCCTCACAACATCTCACTGTCTCCTATCTGTCTGGATGGAGAAGAGGCAGCACGTGTTGGGGTTGGCACCAAGCCACATGGTCATCCGTCAGGATGAAAAAAAAATTGAGCTTATACTTCAGCTGCAGTAAGGGAAGCTATTTGTATCTCTTTTCTGTCCCATTCCTCCCAACGGTTTCTGTGAAACTTAGAGGAATTAATTTTTGAGTTTTTTTCAGCAGAGGTCCAATCTAGTTTTGTTTGGCAAGGGGGCTCAAATGCATCAAACGGGGACTGATAGGCAGGTAGACAGACAGGAGGACAAAGAATATGATAGCTTAATCCATGCTTCCTTAGAAAGTCAAGCTAAAATTGTAAGAAAAAGAACTCACATGTATATACACGCACACTTCAACACATACCTACATACAGAGATGTATGTTCAAAGGACTTTCAAAGAAAGTCAATCAAGGAAAAAAGACGTTAAAATAATAAGAAGAGTTTACTACCTACCAGTTTTGAGTAAATACCACACATTTTTTCCACACTTTGGTAACTGAGGAATAAATTGTAAAAATAAGGGGGAAAAGCAAACCCCAACAAGAAAAAACAACTAAGCCCCTGGGTGCTAGTGATCACAGGAGTAACAGACTCTACAGTAGACAGAACTCACCTTCCTGTGTTACAAGCTAACCAAACCTTTCAGAAATTAAGCTTTTTGGACTGACGTTTTCCATGGAAAGCCTTCAGGCTAGCAGTTTTCAGTAGGTTTTTGTTAAAATTGTTCAATAGCACTGCCACAGATCAAGTGGTCCGTGGTAACAGGATATTCCATGGTTAATTGTTTGTGTTAGTGAATGGAAACATTAGTTCCAGAGATTTGCTTTTTGTCTGTTCTTTTTCGAGATTCACCCAAGCAGTATACATCCAAAAACCTTATTTGTACATTTGGTATCGCCAATATCATATGGCAGTAGACATAGGAGTTTCTCAAACACCTCCCAAGTCCTAACAGCTTCTACCTTCTGGCTGCTACTACCAATGCTTCACTTGCACAGGTGAGAGTGCAGCGCAGGCCAGGGCTGCAGGAGCGGGACCCAGCCGGCCTTGCACATGCAGCAGCTTCTGCAATCAGAATGGGAAGAAGATTCCTGCTCTGATCTCAGTGCTCCCACCATTGGTGTGAAGAGAGCAGAGAGGGGATGAAACACCATCAGCTCAGTGGGAACAGTGAGGAAACATGCAAAATGAGAAATAGTCATGAGTGGTTAGAGACAGGAGCAAAAAGGGAGATAAAAAAAAAAGCAGGAGAGTGGGACAGAAGCAGCTTATTAATAGAGTAATTTCTGTGTAGTGTCCAGCTTACCTTAATAAGCCAAAGGCCTGCTCAGTGACTCATCAACAACCTGAACCCAGGAGAGCGTTCATGATTCAATAGCCTGAATTTCAGGCTACTGAGAGCACATCACACAGGCTGTGCTCACAGCTTTACTTCTTATCGAAATTTGCTTCAAGAAGGTCAAAGACCTTCAAAGGTCTTTGACAATGAATACAATGGCTTCAATTCAGCTTTCTTTGGAGGGCATGATGCCAACAAGTTCCCATGACTTGGCTCACCTGGAAGACAATGTTGTATTTGCTGACTACTCTTTTAGCATGATGGGTGTCTATGTAACTAGCTGTCTGAAAAGAATGCCTAGTGCTCCACAGCGAAGATCATGGTCAACAGCTTGGGTTTTCTAGATGGTGTTACCTTCTACCATGAAGGCAAATACTAGCCTTCAAAAGGAACTCCCACAAGATCTGATACTCATGGACCTCACCTCATTGTGCCCTGAATACCAGATTCAGTCCTTCAACAGGTCTTTAAAAAACCACATCTTTAGTACATATGCAATTAAAAAACTCAACAACCTTGAGCTAAAGCTCTATGTAACCAAACATTCCCCATCTCACAGACCTGATCACAGGGAGAGCATGAATGTTAATAATCATTTGCTTGATATCCTGTTCAAAGGAGCTGAGATACTATTGTCTTGCTGAGGATAGAGTAAGAATCTGTATCTAATGTAATTAAGCTGCATATGAAGGTGGAGGCTGTGAAGGTACTAAGAGGCAGGCAGGAACAGGAGAGGTGAGGCATCATGAGCAGAGGTTAGGAGCAAAAGCAGGAGCTCTCTCTCTGGAAGGAGAAAAGGCACAGCACAAGACTGCCTTTAAAAGTCCAGGGAAATAACACCTTGGAATGGAGAAGCAAAGACGGAAACGAACAGAAGGCAAGAGGAAGTAAGGGAAAATTTCTCCCCCCCCCAAAAAAAAAAAAAACAAAACCAAAGAGAAAACAACGAGGAGAGAAAGGTTTGTCACCACTTCCTTTAGCTGCTGGAGTTGAAACCAGAAGCAGAAGCACTGTTTCTCCAGCTGTGAAATCCACCAGCAAAATACGTGTATCCATCCCCCTCTAGTGCCCAGGAGATGACAGTATTGCCATCACCTAGAATGCCAACTTAGCTGATGGAGACCTGCCAAATAAAGTACCTAGCGCTGTTGATGACTCAGGCAGAGCTTTCACTCAGAGACAGCTCTCCTTTCCCAGTCGCTGACTTTTTCAAAATACTGTATGACAATATTTTTAAATTGTTAGAAGAAACCTACATTTGCAAAATCAAGAATGAAAAAGTAAATTCAATTTGCTTGTGAAACCTTACTCCAGCCTCCATCTGAATATTACCATAAGCTCTTTTAATGACCTGATTACAAACTCTTGTGGTTTCCCCTCAGGATTCCCTACTTTATGGGGGGCAAGGAATGACCTGTGCTGTGGGAATTTGTTATGACTGTGCAATGGAGAAGGCTGCTGTCTGCTAAGGCTCAGCTGCTTTCGTTGCAGCACCAACATTGCAGAACCTGGATTAAAATGGGCCTGCAGTGACAGAAACAATGCTCTTACAGTTAAATTGGACAAATGGCACCTTGCAGACTGTGGGGCAACCACATAAACTCAAGTGGCATTATTCCAGGCACTCCAGAGTGGTATGTGTTCTGGAATAAAGCTGCTACTAACAGTGTTAACAGGAAGAAAAGTTTTTCATTTTTCATAGTGGCAAACATGGGGTCCGGGGAAGCGTGGTTTGCAGAAGTCAGTAGGCTCTCACAGCTGCAATCCAGGTCACAAGAAACCGCGTCTCAGACTTCCAAAATGATGTGTAGCGCTGTAAGCACCGAAAGATCAGTCTGTGCACACCCAAAGTGCAGGGAAGCTTTCAATGGCTCGAATCATGCTGCTTTCATTCCTCCTTTGTAAAAAGAAGTCACAATAATGTCGCCTCTTTTCGTGACAGATCTTTGAAGATATTCATCAGTGTTTGTAAAGAGCTAACAAATGCTACGCCTGAGCACCTTAGAAAGTCCCACTGAAAATGAATAATCCTGTGTTCTATGCTATATTCAATAGCACACAGTAAAATAATGCAGAGGCCTACACATTACAGGGAAAGGATAAAAAGAGAAGATACCAAAGAGTAAGATTTAGTAAGCACTGAGTAAGGCAGTGATCCTGTGGAAAAAATAACATTCCATTTGCTATGGTGGGATCCACCTTGCAAGCGAGTCACTTTCACTCTCTCTAGGGCACAGAGAGAGAGAAGAGTGTGCTCGGAGGGAGGTATGCTTCCCTTCTCTTAGACACCTATCTTAGGTTCGGATGAATCACGCTAAGAAGTGCTGTACCTCTGCCTATCGATACAGCTAAGGAGCCTACCTGACCATTTGAGATTCATTGCCTAACTTTCACATGGTAAAAGTGAGATTAATCCCACCTCTACAACATATGCAGAAGTGGTCTGGACTTGGTTTGCACATGCAATATTAACTTTAACGTCTTCTGATGTTAGCATGCTTGGCTTGGTAGTCCTGATCTTCTTTAAACGGTAGGTTTTAGACTTATGCTCCCAGCTAAACATGTATTTCTAATAACAGATATCTGATGTAGGCTTGGAAACAAAGATAATTCAGTGATTTTATTCACCTGCCCAGAAAGGACAAGAAGA